GCAATATGTAAAGAAATATTTTAAAAGGAACAAATAATGTCACTACAGTTATAATAGTTTGATACAAAGCAATCCAAAATGAGGCAAAGCTGGTCTACTTTATGACCTAAAAGAATGATCTTTTGTTCTTCCTATTCTCTCTTATTTGCAGGCAATGCCATGTAAATCTGCTACTAAAAAAAAACCAAGCTTGGCCGGGCATTGATGGCTCAGGCTAGGTGTTGGTGGCACATGCCTTTAATCCCAGCACTCGGGAAGCAGAGGCAGGAGGATCTCTGTGAGTTCCAGGCTAGCCTGGGCTACAGAGCGAGTGCTCCAAAGCTACACAGAGAAACCCTGTCTCAAAAAAACAAATCCAATCTTTAGGTTTAATTTTACCCAGTAACAGCTATATAACATTGGTCTTTTAAACTCATTAGTCTGAACTCCTGATTCTAGTCAAATATAAGTAAGTACAAGGGAGGAAAAACAATGTTTAAATGGATCCACAGGAAAGGTAAAATACATTAATCGTCAGGCTTAATCCTTGGAATTTCATACCCATGCAACATGTTTTTGTTCCTTTCCATTTTTATATGGCAGGGATTTCAAATATACACATACACACACTCACATACACACACACCTTAAATTATTCTGTACTATTCTTATTTTACAGAGTTTTGGGGGTAAGATAATTTCCAGATTATTCTTAATATTTGCATATCTAAACTGAACTTTAGAAAACTGGAGTTCATGGTAGTAATTATACATAAAATAGTATACAGACATTTTCCTTCATAGTCATTAGTATTTCTCTTAACCCGTTGGCTAAGAATTAAATATTTTATTTTATTATCTTATTTAATAGTCCCAATAACACTGTGAGTTAGAGTTAATAAAATCAATTAACAAGGAAGAAATTAAAAGCAACAAACCAGAAGCCCGAGATTGTGGGGAAATTGTCCCAAGGTCATTCAGCAATTACAGAGCTGGGATTTGGAATTGGGCTGCTCTGTTCCCCAATTATGGACTTTTAATTACCTTGCTATCTGCTCCAGTTAATATTGATATGTAAATCTGGGGGCAGTTTGCCAGCTAATATTCTTTAGGTTGGTTATGTAATAAGGAACTTGTCCTAGAATTTTCTGAACCCTGTGCCATCCAAACTTAAATATATTTCTTATAATCCTAACTATGTGTCAAGAATATCATTTAACAGATATTGTGTTGTATTTATTCTTCATTATGTCATTTTTTATTGTAGTTAAGAGACCATATACCTTGATATTCCTGGAAAACCTAGGAACACTTGTTGGTTTAAAGAAGATTACAAAAATCTAATATCAGCTGTGTAGCCCAGCTGATTTTTAAAGCTGTCAAAAGTGGGAATTAACGCCACATATGAATCACGGATTGACAGCTCCTTCCTCGGGCATGCATTAGTTGTCATCGTCACATTATTAAATGCAGTCCTCACAATACTGTTGTGAGTGACTGTGTAAAGATTGTCCTTTCTGAGAATTTCAGTGATGGCATGGACAGTACAGAGATTGACTATGGAATTAGCCATTTTATGGGCACAGTGGCTGAGGCCTGTGAATTCATTTACCAGGGTGCTAATTTCTGGGCCATTCCCTGTAGTAGCTCAAAGTTGCCTGGTGGTGATCTCTGACCCTCTCTGGCAGGATTGCTTTGAAATATTGTTAAACATTTGTAAATTTTTCTAAAGGAGCCTCACAACATCAGGAAATGAGTAGCTCTTTTAAATGAGAAGCAATATAGGAGAAAAGTTTCAAAGGTGGTATATCATAATTCCTCAAATTCTTACTTATCTTTCTGCTATCAAGGACTAATGAAGTTTCACCTTTCTACATTTGTGTTAAAGACTATTAACAACATTGTAGATATTTCTGGAGTATCACAGGCAGTAGATATCTAAGATTTCTATGTCAAGAGTTGGGTGCACTGAATAATATTATCCCCTATCTTACTCAGAATACACATACACATACAAGATTTAAAGAGGTTCACTGTTTTAGCAACAGATTCTCGGTTAGCAGAGTAGTTTGTCTCTTCCTAATTAACCCTTAGTACTGCTGTGCTATTGACTTCAAAGTGTATTGCTATATCATGACTCCTCCACTACAAGTCAAACCAGGTGAATACCAATCTGAATACAATGCTGTTGGTACCCTTTGATCATGGGAACCAGCTTAGGCCTGTTATTATGATGTTTTCTACAATGAACCAGCATATTGACTTAATTTCTCTCCTTACAGGCGTGACTACTGTTCTGACCATGACAACCTTGAGTATAAGTGCCAGAAATTCCCTCCCGAAGGTGGCTTATGCAACAGCTATGGACTGGTTTATTGCAGTGTGCTATGCCTTTGTTTTCTCAGCTCTGATTGAGTTTGCCACAGTAAACTATTTCACCAAGAGAGGCTATGCATGGGATGGCAAAAGCGTGGTTCCAGAAAAGGTAAATACTACAGTGGTTCTTGGTTATATCAGGATTTTGAGGCCTTAAGCCTTTTAGATGGAATATGTGGTTTTGTGGAATTAGATGAAAGAAGGGAATGATAAGAACACCTTTCTTATTTTTTTAGGCTGTAAATAAGGAATTACACTGGATTAATTATTTTGTTATTATTCATAGTGAAGACAGTTTTATTGAATCGATGTGCAGATAGAGGGTAGGAGAGAGACATTCAAAGAAAAAAAATCTCATTTCAAATGTAACTTCTGTAGTTTCCAATGCTGTTTTTTATTTTGTTTTTTTAAGCAAACAAAACCAAAACCTGATATCAAATGCAAAGACAAATCCATTATCTTCTTAGTTTTGTTTATTTTTCTGTAATTAAACAAAGCATACCCATCTGTTTTCTGAGCATAATTATTTACATGTTTTAGTTGGGTTACATTTGAAAAATTAACTACCCTTAGCTTCCAGTGAAGTCAAGAGTAGGCATACCTTCTCTGTCCCAAAACAGAGATTTCCTTGATTTAAAATGTGCCCAAAACAATTTGAACCACTTTCCTATAGCTGCTGCCTTATAAAAATAATGCAATACACAGGACACTTAACAATTTCAAGTAGCCTTATTTTAAAAGTAAACATTTCCAGGCACATTGGCATCTTTAATTCCAGAACTTGAGAGGCAGAAGGAGGTGGATTTCTATGAGATCAAAGCTAACAAAAACTGTATAGTGATACCCTATCTCAGAAAAGCACTAATGATGATGATGATGATGATGATGATGATGATGATGATGATGATAATAATAATAACACATGAACAAAGTATAAATAAGCATTAACCATAATGATAAATATATTTATTTCCAATATATACAATACAGAAAACATACTGGCTTAATTGTTGTAACCCATCAAGGAGTTGCACTATATTATATTTTTATTTATACAAATCATTAAAATCCCAAGCATACTTTTGCCTATAGTGCAACTCAAGTCAGTCTAGATACATTTCAAGTGCTCAGTACCTACACATGGTTAATGACAACTGTGTGAAATCACTCCGAAAAAGACAATTGTTTAGGAAAATATCCTGATGAATGAACCTATGAAGTAGCCTAAAACAGCAGCCAGTTACCTGTTAGTGATTCTGAATTTATAGCTGGTAACAACCTGGAGTATTCCTTTCATGTAATCTGGGCTCATTCACATGATTGCGATTAACTGGAGGTTCCATAAAAGTTGGGAAACCCTCGGCCTCATATACCTGAGATCTCAACTGGCAGTCATTGGGTCTAGCATTCTCCCAACTCTCAGGGTATTCTCTAGTCTATCCCGGGCTTCTTTTCTTGTCCAGAAGTATGTAGAAGGTGAAAGCTCTGATAGGAAAGAATTTGAGTCCAGTATTCTAAATGTGCATATAGCGTCACTTCTATAATCCCAAATCGGTTTTTGTTTTTTGGTTTTTTTTTTTTCATTTAACCCGTGAAGAAATAGATTCCACCTCTTCATCTAAAAGGTTATAAACACATCTGGCTTTGTAAATGATCACAGTATGTGAGCCATAAATTACAGATTTCAGATTTTTAAATCAAGCAATACTTTGGTTTTGCAGCAAGTGCTGTTTTGCTCAGAAACTTACATTTTTTCTCACTGTTAAATAATTTACATTTTCTTCTTCAGCCAAAGAAAGTGAAGGATCCTCTCATTAAGAAAAACAACACATATGCTCCAACAGCCACCAGCTACACCCCTAACTTGGCCAGGGGTGATCCTGGCTTGGCAACTATTGCTAAAAGTGCGACCATAGAACCAAAAGAAGTCAAGCCTGAGACAAAACCACCAGAACCCAAGAAAACTTTTAACAGTGTCAGCAAAATCGACCGACTGTCAAGAATAGCCTTCCCGCTGCTATTTGGAATCTTCAACTTAGTCTATTGGGCCACATATTTAAACAGAGAGCCTCAGCTGAAAGCCCCCACACCACATCAATAGGTTCTTTTAGTCTCATTCTGTTGTTCAGTCCTCTGCACCGAGAATCGCTTTCTGTTCTCAACGCAGTGATTCCTATCTGCTTTACTGCCTCTGTCTTAAAGAATCTGAAGGTTTCCTTATTTCCATATTTTATATAAGAATAAGAGACCCCTGTCTGACAGTTCAGAGCAGAGCAGAGTTTTCAGCTTGGAGACAGGATTGTGAGAGGAAGCCAGGGAGCAGAAGGTGACAGGCATGAGAAGAAGGGGAGGGGAAGAAGGTCCAAAGATAGGACAAAAAGTAGAAGAAAAACAGAGCTTACTATAACCACAGAGTCATTTGTAGATATATATTTCCAAATATTCTCAAAAATATATATGTCAAAATATTTTTGTGTGAAGGTGTTTAAAAAGGGTAAACAAATGTTTAATGAACTTTAGATCTATGTCTTTATTGCACATATGATAATGTGCTTATGTTTTTATTTGCTTTATGTTTGAAGCTAATATATAGATTTAATTTTTTTGTCAAATTAAAAATTCCCTAGGCTTTCTCCTCTTAAATCTCACTACGTAATATTTTGTTGTTCAATGCTATTTTAGAATTTATGGAAGTCTAACAGGGTAAGATGCCGCTGTCAATGTAGCACTCTATTATCTAGTAGAAAGAAACCCTTTCAACAGGCTACATCATTGTCATTTAAACTTTTACCAGTAGACTATGGAGATCTGCCAGCCTAACACAGATGTTTACTTGGTAGGAGAGAAAATAAATAAAAGAATTGACTAATTTAAAACTAACCTCCCTTCCACTCTTATTCCCAGATAGCCCATCCATCCAAGAGTCACTCTATTCTTATGATGAAGATTTTTCAGAAGGGCAAAACTATTTTGCAAGCTCTAGTATTGTCAATTGTATTCTTTTATATAACTACATCAAAAGCTTTAGACTGAAATTTATGACTAGCCAAGAAAAAATAGAATATATAAATTATATATGTAAATATTCAGCATGAGATTGTACATTGAAAAATTTTTTAAAGTTCTGTTCTTAAAATATCATTGAGGAATCTCCACTTTTAGCTGTTAGAATGTTGTTAAATGCTATGGAAATACATTTAGAGCCTGCATTTAAGAACAGAACAGCTTGTAGGAGACAGATGCCACTTAAAACATATTGAGTATGAAATTCAATTATATAGAGAACGCTCATAACTTCACTGTTGCCCAGTGTTCAATAGAAGATCATTTGCTATCTGCTAGAGTTCTGTCATACCATATTTTCCCTACTTTACGCTATTGTGATAGAGAAAAATACTAGGGAACAGTAGTTGGAGCTAGAAAACCAACTGTATATTATTTCTCTATTTGCTGATACCAACTATTTCAATAAGTGCTGTACCATATGTAGCATCCAATATAAAATACATGAAAGAATGTACAGGAACTAGCTTTTATTGAGTAATATTATTACATTTCATTTATACTGCAGCAATATATTTGTAGGTATACTATGTAAGGGCTTTAAATAAAAGAGGTCCATTAATATTCCTTATAAAACAATTCTAGCCTTTCATTACTGCCCAGACGTTTTAGAAGTAAATATTTATGAAGAAGGTATTTTTGAAGTCTCCTTTTGTCTGATAGATTTTCACAGATATTTAACTTTAGTGTTCAGAATCCACAGATCATGGTCTAGTAATATTTATAAGATCATGACATAAAACTTTTAGCATAATGGCCAAATGAGACAATTAGAATCCATACCTGAGTTTTAAGTGATGTTTTTCTCAAAAAGCTGCTATCCAGTAATGTTGGTAAACACACTGCTTGTGTTTCCTGAAAGATGACAAATCTCTGGTTTCATTTTAAATGTGCTTCATTGTTTGATTTGGTCCTGCCTAAATTTCATGAGCTATGCCAAGGACATGAGCTATGCCAACTGGCTGAACCAAGGACATTTTGTGTATAGATATGTATAGAAAATAAAATAAATTATGGCTCTAACATCTATTTGTGTTGCTGTTTATCTTGTTATTTTCCGACGTTAACCTAACATGTTTAGTGTGATCATTTTATCTTCCAGACTCCTCCTGCCTAGTTTTGGGTCTGTATTTTGCTCATTAGATGTGAATATCTTTTTCTTAGTCTGCTTACTGCTTTGCAATGATTGCATTGCCATCATTTCTTAGTTTGTTAGTACATGTGAGTATTATTCTATTGTGTAAATTGATTGCAAACTTATCAAAGAGAAATTATTCTATGTAGCTTTACAACAGTGTTTTGCTAAACCATGTAATACTAGTTAAGTCTTCCTTGAAAAATAAAGATACACTCTTATAGAGGGTAGTTCCTGTTGATTCACAGGACTATTTTAAAAAGATGACACTGAATGTTTATGCACCTTAGTGCAGTGAAGTGGCAATAAAACCCAACCTGAGTCAAGATTGCTCATGGCAGCTGCATGTCTCGCTTTACAGCGTTAGCAAAAGCTTTTAATCTCATGTCTCACTGTATTCTATTACAATAATAAAGCTTACATTATTCAATAATAAACTGGAATACTTGATTCTGTTTACACAACATGCAAAGGTCTGTCCATTGTCCTGTTTAATACATTTTTGGGCTAGATACTGGCAAATACCAAGTATGAACAGCAACCTGGCCACTCAGAAGTGTTTTTGAAGATGTTTCAATAGTTTGATTTTAAAGTATTATTTGAAATGAATTGTTTAAGACTACTATTTATCAAATAATTGCTTTTAGATATTGCTAGTAACACTTGAGCATTTGTGAAACATAAAAAGAACAGGACAAAATCCAACATACAGGCAAAATTGTGTTCAGTTATGATAGATGAGATAATGTGAGGCAATCTGTCAAATGGTGACAGGACCAAATAATGTAGATTCAATTATAACAAATATAGCAGCCTTTTAAATCTTAAAAGAAATCAGAAATATTAACCATATTATAAAATACACAATAATATAAAATACTTGATCCAGTCATACCTGCCCATGTAAACAGTGTAACAGTCCCGATTTGTTGATTTCTGAGCATATCTAGGAAGAAATATAGGGAATGATAGCTTTTTGGCTAAGAAACTGAGTCTGTATGTCAAGGCTTCTCATAAGCATCAAGGGAATAAGAGAGGCTTAGCATCACTGCCAATCATCTGCTCATTGTGATTAGTTGGAGATCTTTAAATTTATATGCCAATTTTAGCAAAGCCAGACAAATATCTGACTTCATTGTACTTAGACATGATTTAGCCAAAACAGTTAACTTTCAATGTTGCTTTTCTAAGACAGTTTACTGTCTACATCCCTTCTACTATGCTAGAGATGGTGACAGGATAAATATCCCATATTCTTTTCTTTTTTCTTTTTTCACTGACAGTTTACTCTTGGTAATAACATGAACTAAAAGTGAACATGAAGTTATTATAACTTCCTAAAAGAATTATAATTATTGTACAGATATAAAGAATTCACACTTCAAGAATGATATAAAGAAAATTTTTAAATAAATGTGTTACCTAGATTGAATTTTGAAAGATGAATGGACAGTTATCACTCGCTTGGAGGAGTTGTGAAGGCTAAGAAAAAGAATACATTTTTCATTTAAAAGTATTCCATTGATGAATTAACAAACAATGGTGGAATACTATTTAATCAGTCCATAAAATAAGGTGACTTCTGTCACTTGTGACAACTTGTATGATATTGGAAGATACTACATTAAGTGAAAAATACAGGACAGAAAGACAAAAGGTACAGGGTCTGACTTACACATAAAATTTAAACACTATTAAAGTTATACATATGAAAATAGAATAATAAGAATAGGGAGGATATTGTCCAAACTATACAAATTTTAATGTGTTGTATAAAGAAGTGACTACATTTAATAACAAAGTTTTCATTAATTGATATTAAAATATAATCATGACATTTCCCTTTCTTCTTCCAAAACCTATCCATATATCCCTTACAAATCTATTTCAAATTCATCACTCCTTTTTCACTAATTGTTATTGCATGTAATATATATATATATATATATATATATATATATATATTTGTAATATATATATCAATTTGGTTATTCTACAATGTAAATATTTCAAAACATGTGCTGCAATAAAAAAGTGTATTTTAATTAGTTAAATATTAAAATATATAATTTGAAATGTTGAAACTCCAAATCAAAAAAGCAAAATGATTACAGTTGTACTCAAATAATTATTTAATTCCCCAAGATAATAAAAGAGGTATATTACTAAAATATCTATTATATTATTTTGTTTTATCAAATTAAATCAAGGCAAAAGAGCCCAAACTTTAACAGATCTAGAAAAAAGTCACATGGTAAAAGTTTTCATGACTTTTTCTACCTCAGCAGTTCTTGCAAACTTTCAAATAAAATATATTAAAAGAACAATAACAAAAATTATACTTCATTAAATATTAAAACATTGTACTTCAAAGACAAAATTATAACAACGAAGAAAAACATAAAAGTTGAAAACATTGTGTGAAAGAAATTTTATCCATTAGTAGATAAATAGCCAGAATATATGGAACTTATGGAACCACAAGAAGACTAAAAATGCATTTTTAAATGTACTACATACATGGATATTAAAATGTAGTCAATAAATGTATTAAATAACCAATACCATTAGTTGTTAGAAGTAAATTAAAAACATAATGCTAAAACAATTTATTTGCACAAAAGGAATGAAATATAGTACAGCTCAGGAAATATGCTTAGAAGAATATGGAAAATTTAAAACCTCATACAGCTAACAAACAAACATATAAAACTTTGGATACTGTGGGAAATGTTTTAGTTCCTTCTTAAAATATTTGATATCAGATTACTATTAAGTTTCCATGGTTTAATGCCCCATAAGAGATACCATCTTACTCCTGACAGAATGGATAAAATCAAAAACACCAATGATAGTTTATGTTGGAGAGGGTGTGAAGAAAGGGGAACACTCCTCCACTGCTG